GAGTCGAAGAGGTCTGCCGTATATTTTGCGTCTTGAGGACACATCTTCGATTGGTCACTCTGCCTCCATCGTTTGTGTCTCGCCAATCCACCTCCGTGCTCCCACACACTGGCCTCGAATAGACGCCAAGCCGACATGCTCATTCTTGGTCGATGGTGAAGAGGCTCCAAAGAGTGAGGCGAATCTCGACGACTCGAAGACAGTTGTCACCAGCAAGGCTGACAGGCATGCAAACTCTGTCTCGAGCCAGCTCTGACCGGATTGGTGGCAATCTCATCTGCCCAAAATCGATCGACAGGACAGAGGTTGCCAACTCCGCCAAGCGTCAGATACTACGTCCCGACATAGACGACTGGGGCTCTTCAATCAAAACCGGCCGCATGCTGCCTTCCACAGACAGGCCGGAGATGAGCCAATAGGCGAGCCGATTTGATTAGGCTGCTGCATCCTCTCGATGCCTCCCAGACAAACAGACAGACAGACAGACAGACAAACAGACAGCCGATCGTCTGCCCGGGAATCTGGTCTCTCTGAGGCTGTTGTATCTGTGGCGAGCGGCAATCGGCCAGGCCTCACTTGCCCTCCTCGCAGGAGAGAGAGAGGACTATCCATTGTTCGGCGGACACTCTGCCTGATTCCGACCCGTTGCCGGTCTCTGCCTGCCGGCCTGCCAGCCTGCCAGCCCACCAGCCCGCCAGCCCGGGTCAAATGTACAACTCGAGGCGGCCGAAGTGACCAGCAGCCTCTGTCGTCTCCAAGTGTCCGATCACATCTTGTCTTTAGGGTGCAGACAGACCTCGTCTGAGGCCCGGTAGACATCTGGCGCTATCGCGCATCTCCAGCCTCGGCCGGCATGTGGCTACGCCGCCACGGGGCTCACTGAGACCGGCAAGTGTGCTCAATCGGACCGGACCGTACCGACCCGGCTAGGCATGCCGTCCGTCTCATTCGCCTCGGAGCCGCCCCACGCGCGGGACTCCGAGGCTGAGGCGGAGTCCGGAGCCGGGCACGGATCTGGGTCCGGAGGACACTTGGTCGACGAGTCGACCAGCCTCCGGATGCCTACGACGATGCCGCAGTTGGCGCGCGGCTTCTCGCTGGTTCCCGAGCGCCTCGGCAAGGGCAGCTCGTACCAGCGACAGGGCAACAAGGGCATGTTTGGCTGCGAGGCTGCTATGCGCTTCCTCGCCTACATGGCGGCCATTCTGACCATGCCCTTTTCTCTGGTCGTCTGCCTCAAAGTGATCGCCCAATACGAGCGGGCCGTCGTCTTCCGCCTCGGCCGTCTCATCTCCGAAATCCCCAAGGGCCCGGGCCTCGTCTTCATTCTGCCCTGCCTCGACTCCGTCAAAACGGTCGATCTACGCACCTTCACTTTCAACGTGCCTACACAAGAGGTGCTTACCAAAGACTCCGTTACCGTGGCCGTCGATGCTGTCGTCTATTATCGCATCTTCGATCCCGTCATGTCGGTGGTGAATGTGGAGGACGCCAATCGGTCGACCCGCCTCTTGGCCCAGACGACTCTGCGCAACGTCCTCGGCACCGTCGACCTCTACCAACTGTTGACGGCGCGAGAACAAATCGCCCATCTGATGCAAGACTGCCTGGACACAGCCACGGAGACCTGGGGCGTCAAAGTGGAGCGTGTCGACATCAAAGACGTTCGTCTGCCCATCCAGTTGCAGCGAGCCATGGCGGCCGAGGCCGAGGCGGCCCGAGAGGCCAAGGCCAAAGTTATTGCGGCCGAGGGGGAACAACGCGCCTCGGTGGCTCTCAAGGCGGCGGCCATCGAGATCGGCGAGTGTCCAATCGCTTTGCAACTGCGCTACCTACAGACCCTGAGCAGTATCTCAGACGAGAAGAACTCCACTATCATCTTCCCTCTGCCCATCGACTTGCTCAGTCTTTTCCACCAGAACATGACGCAGGCCTCCGTCGGACCGCCCACTCCCTGTGAACTCGCCAGCAGCAGCACCGACAGCAGCCAGTTCACGCCGCCACCAGACCATCACATACGACGAACTCACAGTCCCGCGCTCCACTCGAGCCAAGCCCGGCACCGCAACTCGCCGCCACCGCCGCCGCCACCGCCACCGCCACCGCCACCGCCTCACAGAGAGCCCACTCAGTCTGTCAACCGGCACAGAGCCTACCTCTCCGAGGAGGGGATGGAGCAGATCGACGACGGCCTGATCTGACCCTTCTGCCGGCGCCTTCCGGACAGCCGGGCTCTACAGAGATGGGCGGCCTGGATCCATCCAGAGAGGCACTTGTACATTTGCCCGTGTCCACATGAGGCCAGGCCAAAAGGAGTCGGCGGTCTGCGGCTGGGATGTACAGAGAGCAGAAGAGACAGGCCCCATCGAACAGGCTCCTCCTGACGACCTGCCAATCGCAACGTCTTCACTTTCAACCAGCCCGCCTTTGGGGCCACAACTCTTGCGTATCACTCTCACGTCCGAACGCTTCATTTTCACTTCCAACTTACCATTATCAGTTATTTTTCCTTTTCCTCTGTTGTGCATATGAGATTACGGCCGGATCGGCCGAAAAATCCGTGTACAGATGCGCGCTCTATCCCTATTTTCTTCTAACCTCGGCCAACCGACATGCCCCCCTCTGACCTATTATCCAGTCATACCGAACTGACACAATTTGGCCAACTGGCCTGGCCTCCGTCGCAGGGGATTCCGGCACAAAAGTCGGCCACTTGGCCTCAAATCCAACCGGCCTTTAATATCTTTCACTTTACCCCCCTCGTGTAAACTGCCTCGTCTTCGAAAACCACTTGGGTGTATACATATATACATATATACACATATGTATGTATATATATATATATATATA